GAGGATAGTCTACATGCATCTTATTGACGCTTCTGTTTATTCCTTTAACCTTTAAGCATGTGGCACATAACCTGCAAGAGTCAGCTTTTAAATGCAACTGAGTTACAGTGCATCCAGACAATTGAAGCTCCAGCTTTTACAGGATGCCCAGTTTGGCCCATGGTATAAAACCTCCGCGGAAGATGCATGTCACCATAGTGTGACTGTTCATGCTTATGTCTGTTAATAAGTCAAAAAGGTTTTATTTCAACACAAGAAAAGAAAACCAGGCAAGTAAGTCCCTTTACCATCACCTAGAGTTGGCAGGAGTTAGCTCCTACACAGTGTTCTTTATAAAGGTAGCTTGTGATTTCAATAAACTGATTCTTAAGATGTCGAATACAAGGCATTTGGTTAGTGATACTAATTGGCTTGTTATTTGAACATCTTTTACTTTCAAATTGTTATAACATTCTCTTCCTCAATTTCACAAATTGACCCTCATCAAGAGCTGCTGGTGACCTACAGGAAGTAAGCTGAGGTCTTCTAGCTGTAAGAATTTATATCTAGCTGTAAGAAATTCTATCAATAATTGATGGGAAGTGGGACCTTCTTAAAGGTCAGTGTTCTTCAGTAGCTAAACATTATCTCTTCTGAACACATGATTAGGTCAATAGAATTTCTTTCACTAGTTCCTCCATATGTATGTTTCCACAGTTGCTTTGTCCTTCTATGTAAATACACAGAGAAACATAATATTAATTTCAGTGTCTGAATAACTGTATTAGAAGAACTGACACAAACTGAAGGTTAAAGCAAAAATTGAACCCATTTACTGCAAGGAGAAATTTCGATGGGAATTTTCAACTATTAGAGAATTAAATACTCAAATCCCATTAAACATCAATACAGATTAGGTGCTCATCTTTACAAAACTCTCCTAAAATTCTTAAATACAATGGCAGTGATTAAGTCACACTCTTTAAGCAAAGGTTGCATGAAAACATTATCACTTATTGGGAAAAGGAAAAAAAAAGAAGACAATATCAAACAGCAAAGCATCTTCAAAATCTTGTGCACTTTCTCCATATTACAGAGACAACAAATAACGGGCATAGCACGCTGTCTCAAAATTAGTAATGTTTTTGAACAAAAATGTTTAACACATACATTGACTCATGAAAAAAATAATTTAAGTACAGAATTTCAAGTGAGAAGTTTATAAAAACACTTTAATAATAGAGAAATCTATAGGAATAAGGAGAATGATTTAATGTCTTTATAGTCTGATGTTATGAAGCTGCAGCCACCTAACAACAAAGCAATTTTTTTACTTAGTTCACAACTCCTTGCACCCCCTCACCTAGGATTAGGAATGAAGCACAGTAATGGAAATAGCAAGACTGTTTTTACACATAGGAAACGGTGACAACTGGGAGACTCCATAGCAGCACTCAAGAGACTTCCTTAAGAACTGAGTAACACAAGCAGGGTACTGTAGGATATTACCCCTCTCTGCCACACAACTCTTGCCCCCCAGGCTTTCATTTTATCGACTTGTAACAGCCCACCATCGGCCCCTCATCCTCTTTAGGATGAAATTATCAACATGACTATGAAAGGTCTGGACTAGTCTTAGCAATGTATTGTGTCTATACATCCAGTAATGTACATGAATCATTCCTATTTTCACTGTACCTGTAAGCAATACAATTCCTTTTGCATCTTTAAAAATGTTTAATACTATGCAGTACTTAAAGCCAGTTTAGAAAAGCTATAATACATAAATACTAAATATATCCAAAGGAATAATCATAGTAGCAACCTTTCAATTTCCATGGAAACCCTACGTAGAACACCAGATACAAATCCTAAACAAACATTAATCTCTAAAAACGTATATATATTCCCACTTTGAAGACACAGTCTATAAACCGAAAAGATACTGCAGTATAAAGAACCAACATGAAAAAAAATTTAGCAATCAGCAGAACTGCTGAAGCTCCTGATGCACAGAACTCACAGAGTCAGCCTGTAAAGCATCCCTCACAGCATAGTTGCCCTGCTAATTGCAGCATCTGAAAAACAACACACCATGGCAATGACTAAAATTACTTGAAAACTGACATCTTCTCATGGAATATCTTTAAAAGATTACAAATATACAAAAGCTATCAACAAAAAACCCCCACATTTTCCAGCAACACACTTGTGGCCTGGAGTTGCAGTGTAGAAAGGATGTCTGCACAGATGTCATCCTACTTAAAACAAACAAACAAACAAAACTAATAACAAAACTAACAAAAAAAACCTCAAAACCAACCCCAAACAAAAAAAAAACAGAAGAAAATAAACCAAAAAGGCAAAATTGGAGGTGAGTTAAGAGAAAATCTCTGATCTCTTCAAGGTCATTTCTTACCAGAGCAGAGTTCTTGACCAAAGCTGAGGCTTTGGAAATGTGTTCAGCCCGACCAGAAACAATGTAGGACGTACCACGTGGCAGCTGACTTTATTGTTCCTCCAATCAGAGACGAAAAACTATTACAAGGAAAACTTCCCAGGGCTAAGAAATACCCTGAATATAACACTACAATAACTTGGCTCAGCAGCCTAACATACTTTAAGACCTTTCCCAGAACCCTGTAAAAAAAAAAAAACAAAGTAGAGGTGCCTAATTCCTGGACAGTGTCTGTACACCTTGAGCCTCTGAGCTGTAGAACCTAGTAAATTACTGATTTTCTCACTGGAGAGGGTGCAGCCTGTGATTTTGAGAAGGTGAAAATGAAGTAGGACTTCGGCAAAGATCCAGTTGGGCACTGAAGACCATTTTGTCTCTACTTAAAATCAAATACAGCAGGACAGCACTGACAACTCATCTGCTTGGGGAGCACAGATGTCATTATTTAGGTTTGTAGAGCAAGGAAAGCCATACTCCACAGGCTGAAGCAAAACCACACTCTCCCAGCTACAACTGGGTCAGGATCTAATATCCTGTAAAGCACATCACAAACGGCTAATGCCTGTCCCAACAGTACAATTGTTTCCCCCACATTACACTATGCAGAATACAGAAATTTAAAGAGATGTGCAGACAAGCAGTTCTGTTGATGTTCTTCTAAAAACTGAAGCGATCATCCTTGAGTTCTGAAGGAATGCAAAACAAACTCAGGGGTTTTTTTTGGTTCCTGTTAACCTTTTAAGTAATGCATCACTATTTCTTTATCATTAATATACTTTCAATGTCTTAATAATTAATGTTGACCCAATTTGTTTACTCTTACTTGCCAGTCCAATTACCAGAATTTAAGTAATCTTTAGTATATTCATCTGATGCTTGACACATCTCACATGAAATGAAGAATAGCATACCCAGCTGAGCTTCCACAGCTAATTTTGGGGGAAAAAAAATCAATCCCCTGTGTTAGAATCTGACTGGACTCCAAATTAAATGGTCTTAAATCTTACAGCCAGTAAGTAAGACATCCTAGGTTTCTCTGGCTTGAAATTTAAAAGTGTAAGTTCCATCTTAAACCACACTACCTGATCAGAACAGACGTGAAAAATACCTACAACGTATAGAAAAGGTAAATGTAATCAGAAATACATTGGGGAACAGGCAGAATTTAGATATATTCATTTCTAGGTTTTCACACTGTAGAGGACAAACTGCATTTGTTCACTTTCTAGTGGGCACAAATGAATACAGCACTTCTACCGACTGTGCCACATTTCTTTATTTTTCTTGAGAGATAAAACTGTTGCAACGACAGCTGAATTGAAATAGAGGAAAGTGAATACTAAAGAGTAACAGAATTATGTGCGTAGGGTTAGAAATTAAGTCAGTGTGAACACAGGTAAAGTACTCTAAGTCCAACTACAAAACATAGAGGAAGACAAAAATAATTTTCAAATTGTTACTAACATTGTAATGTGTTGTTTTCTTTCTGTAAAGTAAATTAGATGTTGTGTATGTCCATGTTCCCTAAGAAACACTCGTCCAACCAACCAACTACTTCCAACACAAGGTAAGGAAAAATGTTAACCATTTTGAATTTTCAGTTCCAATTAATTTTGGAAGGATAATACAAATTGTTTTCTAATCTATTCAACTGCTTAGCAGTGAAGTGCAGGAAAGCATGATTTCATTCATTTTTGTCATGACACAGTGAGACATAAGAACACAATTTTATATGATGAAGCAATCCCAGAAGAACAGTATTTCAGATTCTCTCTTAAAAGCTAACTCTGAAATGCACTTTTGTCATCACAGAATTAGAACTTCAGGAAAGATAATTCTACCACTGATACATAATTGTTGTGAAACTTAAAAGCATAAGTGATTATCCACCTCAAACATCACAGGTAACACAGAAGTTTTAAAAACCAGATAAAACAAAAAGGGGGAAAATCAGCTTGATAATTCTCAATAATATTGGATTATAAAATACAAAAGTTTTGACTGTACTGACACTCTGTAAAAATTACTCAGCATTACCTTAGAAATGAGACAGTGACATGAACTGCCATTATTCATTCTTTGAAAGATATCAAGTAAAATGTGCCCAAGACTGATGGTACAGGAAGGACAGAAGCGTAGAACATACACAACCCCAAACTCTCAGTGTCAAACACTGTTACTGTATGCAACTGCACTGCACAGCAGAAACTGGACATGATTTTTAGAGGTAACAGAATTTATTTTAGGCGAAACCTCATTTGGCTATCACCAAAATAAATTTGGCTAAGATGTCCATTCAAGCAGATGAAGTTAGATATTTGCATCTTAAGACAGATAAGACACAATAATATTGTTCTCCTTTAAAGATTCAAAGATTACAAAATCAAGAACTACAGCTTACCAGAAAATCAGAATCAAAACCTATCAACTAACGCACATGTTTAAAACAAAGAAGAAAACTTCAAGTATAAATTCTAAAGTAAAAAAAATGAAATTGTACTTCGATATACACACAATCTGCCATAGTCACATTTTCATAAGCACACATGTTTTGAAATATTACCTGGTAAAAATACCATCCACAACACCAATTGTTGACTCCTCTGCAGGAACATAAGAACCAATCTGTGCCATGACTGTGATAAGTGCAACTTGCTTTATATAGGAGCTCTTCCCTCCCATGTTGGGTCCAGTTATTACCATGACCCTTTCACCATTGCCCTGGAAACATAAAACAATGGTCAAATACACTGTTCTGCACATGGTGCTTTTAGAAGAAAGTCTGGTGCATATATGTGCTTAGAAGGATATAGGACAAGTCCTCAGGATTAAACATTCTGTTTCTAGGTGAACAGCTTCCTTCATTCTTTGGAGTTAATTGCATCCACTTTTCAAGATATTTCAAGATACAAAGTCTCAGTTGCATAGATCTTCTTAAGACCTCTCCGGGCTGGTGAGAGAGAAGCATCACAATCAAGTTTCGTTACTCTTGAGCAAAATGAACAGAGTGAGGGGAAAACCTTCCCTTTCTCCATCAAGGAGGAAAGAAGCCACTCGAAGAACTTTCTTGGAGAAACAGAGAAATTTATCAGCTTTCAGCATAGCCAGTGCTATCCTCATTTGGTTGTGATCTAGATTCTTCACCAGTTAGCGTTCTCACTGCAAAATGGGGAGAAGGTCTGGCAGATGAAGACCTGACCTAGATTTTATACAGTTTCATAATGACTTGCCTTGGTACGACCTGTGCACATTCAAACCGACTTGGCTACAACACGAAATCAGGACATTGCCAACTTTGGGAACACTTAACTGCAACACATATTGTGAGCAGGTGGCATCCAATCTCTGATTTATCGGTGTATCTAACCACTGAAATCCTATGTAAAATGAAATTAGATGCAAGAGCTTGTCTCAGCTGTATGACTCCCTGTTGTACTGCTACGAGCCTACAGCTCCAGAATAAAACTGTCTTCCTCTGGTGCAAGACAATTGCTAATACAAATCATCAATGAATCTATAAAACCTGTCTCATAGCCTGAATCAAGTCTAGGAAATTAAGTTACGTGAGGACAACTAGACTTTTCCTTTCACTGCACATACAGTGAAATTCAACCACTGATGAACTAACCAAAGGTCAGCCTAGTCCATTGGCCCATGGAAGACACATGGAAGAGACAAGCTGTGCATAATGAGCATTAGCGGCACTACTCAGGAAACTTGGAACTGATCAGGCACTGTCCCAACAACAATAACAAAAAATCCCCACAGAATAAACCTCACAATCTTTATAGAATTGTTTTTTTGATTGAGCTTTCACGCTTTTAATAGGGACACAAGTAACATTCCAATACGACTGTCACTTATGTCGTAATTCATACCATAGAGAAGATCCACATCATCAGTATTGATTATATGTAAAAAGCTGTTCAGCTTTTTGCGAAGAAAACCCCATCCATAAGAAAGCTGCAATGAAGTCAAAACTCAGAAAATGCCATTATCAGGAATAAAGGATGGATGTAATAAAATGCATATGACTGTATTAGAACAAAATTCAGAACATTTTGGTGTCCAAGGTATAGTTTCAATATTGGTACTAAAACTTCGTCAGGGCCACCATTTGGCTCAACACAACAGAATTTAAAGATACTTAAAACTAGAATGAGTTCATCTGTTACCAGCCACAGATTTCTTGCATGTGTTTGGTATCCCTCCAGGGTCCTTCCAACCATGCTGTGAGACTGGTGGCTGGTTTGCAAAGCCAGCTTTCAGAAAGAACATATGCTATAACATGAGACAAGAGAACCCATCTGCCCTTACAACTGTAAGCCACCATAATCTAAAATCTCTTTGAAGTTTATGGCTGAAGTTAAAAGTACTAAAATAAATTCAAAAATCTTTGGGGAGGAGAAGGGGAATGGAAGAATAAGATGTTTATTTCTGGACACTGCAGGAACGCTTTTCCTAAAGTTAGACATTCAACAACATTTCAGCTGAAAACGTGACAGGAGATGCTTTTTCCTGCTG